CGAGGGCTGACGTTTCGGTACTGCGTACGCTCTGGCGAAGTCTACGTGCAGCGGATCAAGCAGGAGGACTACGAAGAGGGCTTGCGCGTCTACAGAACACCACAGGATCCTGCGCTTTTGTCAGTTGTGCGCGTCGACATCGTTCGAGACGAAGGCTTCAGTGGAGGTGGCGAGGGGTGGCATCGGATTAATGTGATTGGGCGGTATCACGATCTGAACGCGGTTTGGGAGTTCATCGTGCACTATATCGATTGTCGACTAAGTCAACTGGCGTGATCATACGAAAGCCATCGAGAAGCCCTCGACATTTACCGACACTTCACAAACTTGGTTGCCGGTCGCAACATCACTTGTCGGTCATCACATGTTCAAAAGGGCAACGTCCATTGCCTTCGAGATGCGTATCAAGCAGGGAGAGCATTGAGATAGCACTTAGTGTATTGAGCTACCAAATCATAAGCCTCCTGTGGGCATCGGAAGGATCATCCTGTTCCGTTCCTTCCAATATTCAGCGTACCAAATCCGCCTGTCCAATCGCCAGATCCCAAGACAAAACCCTGCCTTCCCAAGATGTACATCATGCGTGCGAGCAAGAGTGTGCCGAGCCAGTCTGTAGAAATTGTCAGAAAGCTTGATCAGTGTCCAGTTGCCTTGGGTAGCATACCTTTGAGAAGACTAGATCTAGTCGCGGACGAGGCGCTTGAGCAGGTACTCGGCAGAGAAGACCCACACGAATTGCATAGGCTCCGAGGCCTTGTCGAAGGCGGACGCGTGAGTATCGTCGTTGTTCACAGCCTGCCACTCAGTGGTGTCGTGGATGAGATCAGGCTTGCGGTCGAAGACGACCTCGACCTTGAAGACATCATCGCCGGACAGGACACGCTGGGTGCGCTCATCGATGATGGCATCCTCAGGGATGGTGCCCTGGGAGACAAGAACGGTGTTGGTCTCGACGTGGTAGATGAACTTGAACTCGGTGTAGCCGTTGAGCTCCTCGACGATGGAGGGAGCGACACTCTCGCTAGTGATAGTGACGCGCTCGAGGTTCTTGTAGATGAGGCGGGTCACGTCGATCTCGACAGCGGGCATGGTAGGGTCGAACTCGAAAGAGGTGTAGCCAACCGAGGGGGGGACATCGAAGTCGTGGAGCCAGCAGCGCAAGAGGCCGGTGATAAGAGAATGCGACTTGGGCGGCTCGATCAGGTTCCACTGGCCGGAGACGGTCTCATATCCAAGATAGAGGACGTCTAGGTGAGGGTTGATGTAGACCCAGTCAGGCTCCTCTTCAGATCCGATCAGTACGAAGGGAAAGATAGAGTCGTAAAGCCGAAAAGCATGGACGCTGAAGACCCGACGGCTTTCCTTGCAAATGCGGGTAAGAATGCTCTGCTTACGAGGGGCATTGCGGTCGCGGCGAGGCGCGACGCCGACAAGACGAGCGATGTTCGCCTCGTTAAAGATATGGCGGCGGATCGACTCGGGGAGGCTGTCGAAGAGGAAGACACGGTGGCCAACGTTGTTCGCCGCCATGTTGTGTGAGGTTGTTGGTGGTGATATTGAAGAGGAAATGTGAAAGTTGGGAGGTATGGAGGGGAGGAGGAAGAGAAAAACAAATTCTGCTCCTCACCTCCCCAGGTTTTATTCTGTGTCTGTCTCGCTGAGTCGTCGAGGGCTGTCTGTCCGGAAGGGTCTGTCTGCTCTCGTGTTGTTATGGTTGCTATGGCTGCCGGTGCAGATGTGATCTTCAAGGCAGGAGGCGTGGGTTCCTATCGATATCACCACTAATACTAGGGGGCTCTCGCTGTTTTCTTCCTTCAGCATGAAAACTCTGCACACAAAATGTTTTGACCAAATATCAAGTGCATCTTCACAGATATGACACTACTTGTAGAATTACGCTTGGGGTCTTCAGCATCTCAAAGGCATCACTAAAAAGGGGAAACTTGGAGCATCAGAGCAACACTCAAGAGTCAACCTAAAGAAATTCTTTATAATAGGGTGGGTGGTTTTTGTTCCTTATAAGTCCAATAAAGAGTGTCTGCGGCTAGAGAAAGAAAGATGAGAGAGACCAAGGAAACTTCATGATAAGGGGTGTGAATATTGTAGGGCTTTGACCTTTGGGGTAAAGAGCTCTTCCTCTTTTAGCCTCACAATAATTTCAAAGAATAGTGAAGAAGCAGGTGGTGACCTGTGAAGTTTGACGTCTTTCGACTCCATGCTGGCTGTGAAGCCGGAGGGGAGCTCCGGTGCACTCCGGATGAACACGGCCCCACTCCGGAGGCACCTGCCCAGCAAGGAAGGAGACACTCCGGAGAAGGGCCGCAGTCAGCCAAGGTACCTTACCTACCTTAGGCAAGCACCTGGCTACCTCCTTCCTTCTCTCTGGAAGCAACAGCGAGCAAAGCCAGTCTGGCCAAATCAGAACTTCGACACCAACCTCAAAAACCATTCGCCTGCCCCTACTTGACCCGGGCCATTGCTGCCACCCGAGTCCGAGAACAAAGTACGATGCTGGCCTCTCTGAGCAACATCACCGGCCTCAAGGCATCTCTAAACCCGCTTCCCTGGCCCAGACTCCGTCTCTAGGTCCATGTCGGTGGCCGCGGTCGCCGTCAGAGCCTAGCGATCATGCTGTCACGATTCCCCACAAGCTGGACAAAACCGGCAGGTTTTCGGCGAGTTCGTCTTGTGGAGGAATGGGACGCCAACATCGCAAAACATGCATGCTCAACACGCTGCGGAAATACGAAATCGACTTGGTCTTATGGCCAGCTCCAAGTGCTCAGCAATCTTCCTGAATGAAATCTGCCCCCTTCCTGAGATCTATCTGAGTTGCTGAGTGTCCCGATTGCAAGTTGAACTTTTAGGGAGGCTTCGTCGCCCTGACCGTGCCAGAGAGGGCTGCGACAGTGCGAGACCAGTTCATTTCGTCACCCAACATTGTGCTCGAACTCAAGGTTACCCAGCCAGATGAACGCATCAAGCAGCCCGCGGGCACCGACTTATGGGGATAAATGAGTCGATTTCAACGTGGAAACAAGCGATCAATGGGGTTGCTGTCAGCAAACTACATGAGAGCGGTCTTAGGCCCGCTAAAGCCGCTGGCGTGGGCCTTCAGCAGCTCAGTGCGTCCACTGAAACGTCGCAGTACACTTACAACGCCAGACCCAGATATGAAGGAATATAAACCAGAGACCGTCGATATGATGGTGCATTTCGTTAAGACACCATCATCTCGTACGCTATTTCCAGTTTGATCAGAAGCTCTGAGCAGAAAAGCAACATCATGGTTAACGTCGCGATCGCAGGCGGCACCGGCGCCGTGGGCAAGACCCTCATCGAGGTGATGGCTTCGCAGACGAAGCATCAAGCTGTCGTCCTCACCCGCAAGGTATTTACTCCTGCTCGAATTTTGTCAAAAACGCCTCGGTACTGACTGCGCATAACCAGGCGCCCAGCTCGGAGGAAGAGGCTCTCGCGCCGACTTACCAGGTCGACTACTCCAATGTCGACTCTCTCAAGACCTTTCTTGAGGAACACAACATCCACACCGTCATCAGCGCCTTTGGCATCAACGCCACCTCGCTCGCGACATCCCAACTCAACCTCATCAAAGCCGCCGATGAGTCCTCGGTCACGAAGCGCTTCATCCCGAGCTCCTTCGCCATGCGCTACCCTGAAGAGTAAGCCCAGCCTCATCGTCCCAGTTTCTGAATACCTCGGCTGACCAACGCCTCCACGACAGCGGCGTCAAGATCCTCCCTCCCCTCGAACACTACTTCACCTCCCTCACCGCGCTGTCCTCGACATCCCTCGAGTGGGCCGTCGTCCTCAACGGCACGTTCCTCGAATACTTCGCCCCGGCCGCCCTCAAATCCCACCACCCGCACAGCGTCATCGTCCTCGACATGCACCACAACGCCGCCGCGATCCCGGGCGACGGCAACACCCCCGTGACCTTCACCTACACCTTTGACGTGGCGCGCTTCGTCGTCGCGGCGCTGGACCTCGAGCGCTGGCCGGCGGACCACGAGCTGCGCATCATCGGCGACGAGCTCACCCTCAACGACTTCGTCAAGATGGCCGAGGAGGTCAAGGGCGTCAAGTTCGATGTCGTGTACGACGACGTGGAGAAGGTGAGGGCGTCCCAGATATCGGAGCTGCCCGGACACAAGGCCTCGTACGACAAGTTCCCCAAGGAGAAGCTGCATTGGTTCCTTGCTATTTTCGAGCTGTGGATGGCGACCGGCCTGGGCAAGGTTGAGAGGGAGGGCAGTCTGAATGAAATGTTCCCCGAGATCAAGCCGCTGACGGCGCGGGAGATGCTGGAGAAGTACTGGAAGTCATGAGATAGAAGTAGGGTTGGAGGATGAGAAAATATGTCTACCTTGTGATGCATCCCGCGCCAGTGGCGCCGTAAGTGACGGGCACTGTCTCCTGGGCTGTTTAGGGGCAAATGACAGCGGGCTGCTGCACTGAACCACGGCCCCCGTCCAACCTGATGACCCTGGGACGGACCAGATGGCTAACAACCCCCGGGCCGACAATGCCCATGCCCGTATTCTTCAGGGCCTAAAAGCCAGTTCTTCCCAATACTTTACTGACGCTGTTCACAGCCACGCATAGACAAGTACGCCAAAAATGCAAAAGGAAATGCCGACCTACCCAGGGATCGAACCTAGAATCTTCAGAGTATGACTTGAGAGCCGAAATCTGACGCGATGCCATTTCGCCAGCAGGCCATGCTGAATTGATGACTAACGAACAGACAAATGCGACTTAAGTAGGGAAGAGGGGTTGCGGGCTAGACCGTTGAGGCGATTGATCGTCCCACTCACGATGTGGAGACTGGAGGCTCATCTGCTTGTGTGACGGGGATGTTGGTGGCTATGCTTTTATCTCCAACCCAGGAAATGTAATTGTCGCTTATTGAAGAATACTTCAAGAATCAAGCTGGCTACAGAAATGATACATTCGGAGTACTGGGTATCAAAAACGCATCACGAAGCTTCCTCTTTAGGGGGCTCTGCGTTGGAGTCCTCGGTCGTCTCTTCACCCTTCGCACCCTCTTTGGCCGCCTCAGGGTCCCACACCGCTTCAATGATGCTCATCCTACACCCCTTGGGCCGCAAAACCTTGGTCAGGACGAATCGCTCGTCGGCCGCCTTGAAGAGGGCCCGGTACTCGTCCTCATTACGCTCCTGAGCGTTCAGCACGGCCAGCATGACCATGTCCATTCCGCGCATAATCCTTTCATCCCATGGGTTCTCTTCTCCGGGTTGGCGTAGGCACTGATCCTTGATGACAACCTTCGCGCCGGGCTTCATTGCAGGAACCAGATTCTTGAGGATAGAAACAGCGTAAGGCGTGGAGTAGTTGTGCATGATCCAGCGGAAAAAGAAAACTGTTGAAGGAGTAAAGTCAGTCATTTTCTGTGGAACAATATCAAACAGTGGAGAACTCACCGTCTGCATCCTTCACAGTTTGTTCTTTGAAGAAGTCGTGTGCCATGAACTCGATGCGTTCGGCAATCTGAGTGTCGTCGGACACCGGCTTTGGGGCTGAGTCAATGGTTTTCTGGAGATCCTGTACGACGAATTTCATATTCTTCCACTTCTTAGCCAGGTCGACGCATACGAAGCCCTGGCTGCCGCCGATATCCACCAGCGTTCCGCCTCTAGCATCAACGTCGCCAAAGTCGTATGTATCAACGAGGTGTTTGACTTCGTAACCCTCGCCGCCTGTGAGACTGACCATGGCGCCGCCGAAACGCTTAGCTCGAGCCGGATCCTTGCCAAAGGTGACGAACATCGGCTCCTTGTCCACGGTATCAAACGCGAAGTTGAAGCCGGTCCGTGTGAGTGAAGTGGCTTCTGGGTAGGCTTTGAGGGCTTGAAGAACATGGGCAGAGGCAGGGAAGTTGTCTTCGAGGTTGTAGCCAACCCAATCCTGGAGCGACTGGTCCTCTGCCAACAGGCGGGACGCTGCAGTATGAGCGATCACGCCCGGCGAAGGCTCGCGGAAAATCCGGTTTGTCATAGCATGACGAAGAACCCGCGCGAGGTTGACAGCGTCGAGAGTGGTCTTTGTTTGCAATTCCGCCAACGTGATGGTGCCATCGATTGGCACGAGTTTCGCTTTGCAATGTTAGCGTTAATACGCATAAAGACGACCACCGTATTGCTTACCGAGACCAAAGTGGTTGACCAATTGAAGGCTCAAGCTGTCTTGCCACTGTCGAATAGTTAGCTTCGAAATTCGACGGCAGCAGGACGCGACGTACGCTCCAAGCTTTCCACCTGACGTCTTCTCGGGGTCCATGGACCAAAGCCTCCAGCTCTCTAGTCGCAAACATGATCTCCATCCGGCTCTTCTGGATGTCCTCGGGAAGCTTGGGAAAGTCAAGGGGTCCGTTAGGGTCTAGACTCGGCAATGGCATGCCATTTTCCCTCATGTACTTTTCCAACTTTTCGGTCTCCATCGCGATCTTCTTAGCAAGCTCTGTCAGTCTTGACGACGAACTTGCAGGCTCATTTGCCGCTGAAACTTCCCCCTTGGTAACCTCATCTTTAGGAGTACCATTTGACCGAGAAGAAAAGGGTGACAAAGACAGGCGGTTCTGCTTCTTGCTTTCGACTTCTCCGGTGTTTGATGACGGACTGGTGTTGAGCCACGAGCTGAGCTTGAATTTTGTCATTTTAAGGTGGGTTTTGTGGTAAGATTTGCTTCCCCTGGTCTATTACGATTAAGAGTTCTTCTTTCATGTCAGCACATCCTCACTTTGGATAAAGAGCGACGCAAGAGAAGTTCAGTCCTCCTTCACTAGTATCCCAGCACCACTAGCTGTAGACACAGCCATGCTTGGCTGTCTGAGCATCACGGCTTTGCAGACTGCTCATAGCCTAGCCGCATGGTGGGAACACTAGGAGTCTCTGAGAAGCCAATTTCCACTCTGATAGATTGCTTCCATTCATTCTCTTATCTGCTGGAGATGAATGACGTGCGAATTTCACTGACCGTCAAGTTTGAAGGATGTCAAAACCAACGCTACGCCTATCAATGCTGTGATGGCAAGCTCGGGACAAAATCAACGCTCGATGCTTTGGACGGTAGTGATGCCGCTCGGGCCGTTGTAACACGAAGAAACCCGAGGCCTCGGACTTGGGCTTGATTGACGTAGGTTTCGGGGTATGTGTCACAGAGAGATCAGACACGGCGGCTCTGCGACACAGGACGGCAACCAGGAGATTCGGTCAAGCTTTTTTCTCGGGGGAACGAAAGCTCGCGCCATCAGGACCCAGGCGCCTGGGAAGGTGTCTGTTTTTAAGGATGGGCCCAGATGTCAACAACGGCCCCTCGTGTGCTCCTGGGTGACGGGTCCTGGATGTGGGCGGGACAGGAGCAGACCGGGATGGGTGCTGAATCGTTGCGACGATATCAACTAGCGCGGTCCATGCTTCTGCGGTCCGACGCCATTGGTGTCTTGTTCATGGGCCGTTTCCTTGTTCCCCGTCTCTTTTGTAGCTAGTGGCCTTCCACCCGCTCTTTGGAGTCGAGCGCCGCGCGGAGGCGACGGACGATCGCGGAGGTCATGGACCTGGCTGGAAGGTGTTCCTGAGACGATGGCCACGGGAGCATGGTTCCATACGACGGTGCAATGGACTAGCAGCTCTTGGGACTGCGAGAAGAGGGGAGGTCGAAGGATGGCAACTTGGCAGGCGGTAGTCGATTGTGGCGTGGTATCAGTCCCCGTCCGTCCCGCTAGTCGACTCCCTGGCACCCTTGAAGGCCTGGAAGGGAACATACTGCATGGTACCAATGGAGGTAATTAGTAAACCATCCGAACGGGAGAAACGGCTGGGCGATGTTGATACCTAGCAGCAGCGGTGAGAAGTCTATCTCCATCGTTCAGGGACTGTCGCGGACTGTAACTGCGGTAGACAGGGGGGTGAAGACAGGAAAGACAGGACAGGTTCCACTGGGACGGGTCGGCAAGCAAGCGTCTGCGGGCACTGGGAACACAGCAGCTCCCCTCCCCCGCCGGCATTTGGGCGAAGAATGGACTGGAAGGGCACTTCTGGCCAATCAAGCCCTGTATTGCAGCACCCTACCTGGCATGTTTCAGTGAGCCAGGGCATCGGGCGGTCGCTGTCGACTCCACTCTGCGGGCGGGGCAGGGTGGTGTTCCGCCATTCTGGAACTGGAAACAGCGTCCACTACACCACCTCTTTCAAAGTCCTCACAGGCTCCAAACTTGGGCCCAATCCATCCAATCTGCAACTCCCCTCAACACCACCCTTCGACTTCTCCTCACCCGATCCCACGACGATGCAGCACCCCTCTGCAGCAACGACTATTTGGCAAGACCATCATACTTCTTCCGGACACGCTTGCAGAATGCTGCACCCAAGAACCTTACAGCCCCTCCCGACCGCCACCAGTTTGCCAAGGACCTTGAAGTTGGACCGTCTCCAAAACCGTGCCACACCACACCACCACCACGCAACCAGCGACGCCAAACCCATACGTCCGTATCCGTGGAGAAGAAACACAGTCGGTCATGTATCCAAACTGATTGCGGTTTCCTCGCTACTCTGGGCATACCCCTGATTCAAGATCATGGCATTTCGTGCAATCACGACTGGGCTAAAAAGAAATTGTCTGCATTAACCGCATCGACTATCCTACACATCCACAAACTCCATCGGCTTCTGCCCATAGACCACCTTGAGCGGCATGTACATCAGCACCGAATTGTCAAAATACGCCTTCCTTACATTGACGAGGAAAAGCTCCGTTTGCTCCGCCGACCAATGTAGGCCCCGCGTGAAAGGCCCCAACGCAATGGCTTGAAGTCCATCCAGGAGGATCGTCCGCCAGTACATTCCCACGGTTTTGAGCACCCTGTTACGCGGCCATGTTCCTATCGGAACGTGAAAAACTCTCTCCGTCACGTTGCAGAATCCTGCTTCGCGCATCATGTTCGCCAGCCGGTCTCCCGCCGCCAACTCCAAGTCGACTCCGAGCTTCATCAGCCCTTCGCCTACGAGACCCCAATACTCAGCAACGGGATGCGTCGCCGATAGCGAATTGTTGGCCGAGGCCGGGAAATGGTGCATTTCCTGCAACTCCATCCAGCCTCCAGGCTTAAGGTGTCTGACTTCTTGTTAGCGGTGGTACGGATGCTAGGCTTCAGCGGTCACTCACTCAAGCGACCTCTGGAGGAGCGTCTCCCAATCCTTGATTGCCACGACGGTGTGCCGCGAGTGAATGTAATCAAAGTGGTTTGCATTATACAGCCACGCACTTTCGACATCGTCAACCTCGAACTTGACGTTTGGCGGCACCCAGTCTGGCTGAATAGGGCTGAGATCCACACCAAGGACCTGGGCACTTGGGAATTGGTCGCCCACTTCTCTGTCATTAGCAGTATTCCGATTGCACGGCTGCCTTCACTTACTCTCAATGGCCCAGGCGCCTGTACCGGTTCCGAGATCCAGTATGTTCTGAGGGAAACGCCCGATCGGTGCAAAGTTGAGCTTCTGGCTACAAAGTAGCTTGACCATGGCATGTTTCATGTCCTCGCGCTCCTGCTCGACCTCATCATTCGGGAAGTTGTACCGCCCTTCTCGGAAACGATGATATCGCCGCCCGTTCTCATACATGAAGTCTCTCACCGACGATGTGATTGATGTGCTGCCATTCGACTCTGTGTCTGTGTCATAACCAGCATCAGATGAGTCTCTCGCGTCGAAAAGATTGAGCTCGTTCCTGTCAACCGCAATGAAACCCTCGGCTTGCGTTGTGGCCTCTGACGACTCTTGTGCTTGCTGTTCAGCAGACATGTCGGGCAGAATGCGGACTCCATTGGGATGTGTCAAATGGGGCTCGAACGCCGCAGAACGGTTGCCACGGGGCGATAGCGAATTGCGTTGAGAGTAGTCGTCGGTGTGTTCAAGGTCGGAGGTCCCGTTTCCATCGCGGTTTGCCGTGCCGGTTCCTGTCATGAGCGCTTCGATGGGCTCATCGGGTGACCAGTAAGGGTCTCGCGACTCTGTCGATGACCCGACCGCGTCGACGACAGGGTCGAAGAAGGCGCGCGTCGAGGGCTCAACGGCAGCAGTTCCTGACATGATGTGGTCTTCTCCGGCGTTCTGGACGTTGACATTCTCATCCCAGGGCATGAGACCTTCACCGAATGCCGCACCATGTGTCGTCGAGTTTACGTCTCGGCGAGGGATGGAATGATTGACCAGATTTCTGGGCGGTAGGTGCCACCCTCGCCCGCTCGCGGCCAATGTCTCAGACACCAGATCGGTAATATCAGTCGCGTATCCCGCCTCGTGCCTGGGGCTGTCCAGCCTGTCATTCCCACTGGATGACATGGGCATGTCACTCTCGGCGGCGGAGTCCATTGCCTGTCGTGCAGCGTGGGCGTCAAATAATCATCGCCAGGCAGCAATACTTAGAATTGCTTTTTCTGATGCGTTGGCTTCGCAGAGCTGGCTGGCGATGGTCGGTGGTGCTGAAAGATGCAATCACATGCTTCCCCAGCCAATGAAATGGTAATTGGCGTTGCTTTAAACGACGGATGGACCCTTTATGACGAACGACGTCTGTTGCATTGCCTCAGCTGTGGCAGTAGTCCCATCCATGCTATTATGCCATGCCATGCGTGCCACACTACAACCGGCCAGGGGAATCCGCGGCCGTGCTCAAGCTGGCGGAAAGACCTCCGCATTTAGCTCACGCTTGGTCAACCAGCAGGCAGCAGAAAGTGGCACGATGTTCAAGTCAGCACCGGCACGAAAGCTTGAATTGCAGTGCTACCTGCAGTACCGATGAGGATAGCAGAGAGCTGACATGGATGCTCACTCACATCTGAGCGCAAATAAGCTCAATCTTGTCGCCAAGGCGGGAGGATTGGGGAGATCCCCCCAAGGGCGCTAACCCGTCTCACATCCCCGGCGCACCGTCAGTGCAAGCTCCTGGTCATGTTACGAGGGGCTGGAACATCCACTTTGATCTGAGCTGCATCGGAACATATATGCGTCTGGATCAAACGTCCTCTGCATACCAACATCGTCATGTCAGTCTTATTTCTCAGCACCATGGCGACATTCCACGATATTCCACAGGGTCAGACTCAGTACCACGGCTAAAATCCTCCAGCCAGGGGCCCGTGGTCGTCTTCTGGGTCAGTAGGGCAAAAAGGAATGGTGCCGGGACTCAACATCTCGTCCTCCGGTTCCAAGGTGGAATAGGGTGAGTACTTGTGACCCTCCTGCAATAGACCAAAGACATCTCGGGATCTGCCCAGATGCGCTTGGACGCGATGTGGCTGAGGTCGAAGTCGACTTGAACGGCTTCTGGCTTCTCGAGTTCCTTCCCGTTACGGCGAAGAGTGAGGACATGGTTCTTCGCGAAGGGCTTCGTGCTCAACGTCGAATTTCGTGTGGAGAACGCAGCCGTGGATGATTTGTCGCAGTATCTCGAGGCGCGTGTCTCCATCAGGGGTGATCTCCCTATCCAAGTCTTCGTGTGGGCAGGTCCGACTCGCGCCCTGAGACCATTGTAATCGTCGCGGCGGCAGACATCGGTGATCAAAGGACCGTCGACCTTTTCCCTGAGAACGGCACCGATGTGTTTAAAGCCTCGTCCTCTTCGAGCATGCACCAGGTTCCATAGTACTCCAAGACAAGGCGGCCCGGCCCAGTAACTGCGTCCTCGCCGGCACCCGCATCGTGGAATTGTCTGTATATCGCGACTGTTCGACTGAGACCAGAGTCGGCCTGATGAAGCGGGGTGAATCTCGGCGGTTACGGAAGCCTCAGAGTACTATAGAGCTTCGGCGAGGACGATATGTTCTTTCACGAGTTGTGAAGCCATATGGTCCCCGTAAAGCTGGGGGGCTTCATGACCTTGCAGACAAGATGGATCGGCCGCGGAGGAGTATCTTCATCGGAGATGTGTATGATGTTCAGGACCCTGACCTGCGCCGCATCATCGGTGATATCACTTTTCTCGGGCGGGATGTAGTTGCTTGGGTGCTTGTCGGTAGGATTGGGCGGTTCTATGTCGCCCCGTCATCCGTACTTGGGCCCGCCATACGGCTCGGAGGGCTTTTTGTGAGGGCAAAGCACCAACTCTTTGTCCTTGGGATAGGAAAGTTCGGCGGTCGCCGAGTCTGAACTGGACATGGCGGCTCAAGAATGGTGGTGATCAGCGTAGGTTGGGTGCAATTGGGGTGGGCTCGGCAAGGCTATAGGAGTGATGATGGTCGAGGGAAAGGTGGAAAATATGGGAGACAGTTGATCCTTTCTCATGCTAATGGGCTGAGGGCATGTCCGAAGAGGTCTCCCAACACAGAGGGATAATTCAGTATTGCCACGATCAAAGAGCTAGTAGTAGGGTTGTTTGGTGCATCAAGGCTGTCGCGTAAATACGTTGAATGTTCTCTACTTGTTTCGTAACGTCTAAATCTACGAAGGCAACCCCTTGTTAAGAAGAATGCCGGGCTATGCCAAGCTCTCGCACCATCCTCCTCCGACACACATGTCCTGTATTTTTGCTAATTTTATATGGGGAGGTAATGCACAGCCGCGCCGGCGGGACAGCTCCAGCACGCAGGCTCGTCCATGACATTGTCCTTGTACGCCCGGCCTGCGACCGCCGAGTCGCCGATGGCGTCCCAGACGGTCAAGCTGTAGATACCGCACCAACCGGATCCCGGGACCCACGTCCAGCTCTTGCAAGTTGCTCCGAGGCTCAGGCAGTACGCGGCACAGTCGGTCTGGGCGTATAGATAGCTACCCTGCACCCCGCCGGCCGGTTGCTGGAAGCCCTTCACGTTGCAGTTTGCCGTGGCAGGCGGCGAAGCAGCTCGAGAGCACATCGCCGCCGCGGCGGACGTGCTCGAGGAAGCCGCACTCTGCGACTTTGAGCTGGCGGGCGTCGTGGAGGAGGATGGCGATGCGGTGATTTGCGGGTAGCCGACGAAGAGCGGCAGCGAGGATGAAGAAGAACTCGACGAAGAAGACGAGGACAAAGATGAAGACGAGGCGTTTGCTGGAACGATGTTGGCGCAGTTGTGGCAGAGCATGCTCATCCATACAACAGGCCTGTAGTCCACTGAAGGCGACAGGGACTTGAGTAGCGTCATGACGGGGAGGCTATAGAAGTTGCAGTTCCAGGAGACGGTGCTGGTGCGGTCGAGGGCGTATCCCTGGCATCCAGAGATCCCGGCACAGATTACTGCGCAGCGCTGGTACGACGGGTCGAAATTGTAGTCGCCCAAGACGTTGGGGGCGATGCCCGTGGCGACGGCAATGAGGCCCTGCGTCGCTGTCGGATAGCCGGACTGGATGCAGCCGTTGGTGTACCATTGAGCCCCGGTCGGTTGACCGCAGGATGTAGTCGACGCCGGTGCGGAGAATGTTGTCACTGTGCCTGCTGGAGCTGAGGTGGTGGCGAGGGCGGTGACAGTTCCAGATGGTCCTGAAGTTGTGGAGGAAGTCGAGGAAGGACTGCTACTGAAGGGCGTGCTCGTAGCAGATGAGACGGCACTACTTCTGCTGATGCTACTGCTGCTGCTAATTGCTAAGATGCTCACGCTGCTGCTGAAAGAGGACGCAATCGCCTGGTTGAGGGTGCAGTTATAGCATTCCGACACTCCCCATGCGAACTTGGCATACGCGGAGCCATATGAGGTGAGGCGGAAGTAGTTGCCAGGGAGGTAGTAGTTGCTCGAGTTGACAAAGTTGTACATGTAGCAAGACCACGGAGAAAGATCTGTGGGCCAGTTTCCACGATCGATGGCCCAGGTGGTGCAGCCGTTCACACCGCGGCAAGCGCCGGCGCAGACCTCGAAAGGCTTGCTGAAGTCAAACACCCCCGATGGAGCCGGAGCAATGCCTGTCGCTACAGCCAGGAGACCGGACTGCGAAGTCGGGGTCGGCCAGCCGGAGAGGGCGCAAGGGGTCGCGCCGTCGTTGTTGCGCTGTGTTACGCAGGTGCCAGAGGTCCAGGCTGAGGCCGAGAAGACGTAGGCCTCGGAGGGTGGCCTTGTTGTTGCTGGCGCGGCTGTTGTGGGAGACGCAACGCTCGACGTGGATGATGCAGCGTTGGCAGTAAACGTTGACGAAACAGCACTAAATGTCGAAGATGCCATGCTACTAGTCGATGACACAGCGTTGGAAGATGAAGTAGCCGGTGGGGCGATTGATGACGATGTTGACGGAGTAGGTGACGATATCGCTGCAGCAGGAGTGCTGCAAGCGTAGCACTGCTTGTCCATCCAGACGATCCAGTAGTTGCCGTCGTTCTGGGGAGTCATCAACCTCGCGCCGGCGGAGTAAAAGTAGCACGTCCAGTCAGAGTAGTCGGCCGGCCAGAATCCTCTATCGAGGGCCCAGCTGTAGCAAGTGGACATTGACGCACACATCTGCGCGCAAGCTTGGTAGGCGTACTCGAATAGGTTGCTGTTCTGAACCCGCGGAGCCGGAACACCTGTGGCGACTGCAACGAGTCCGGAGGTCTGGAGGACGCCGCCGGAGAGAGTACATCCAGCAGTGTACCAGTTGTCAGCCGTTGGTCGGGGGCAGTTGGTCTCCGTCCCCGTGGTCGGCACGGCGAGGGTCGGGATCCATGAGGATGGGGTGATGGCGCCAGGCCGGACAGCCTTTGTGGAGCTGGGCGTGATTTGAGGTTGAGAGCTCGATGGGGGCGATGATGCTGCAGTCGAGACTGAGGTGCTGGTAGTCGAGACAGGCGATGAAGTGGAAGATGGCCGAATCATCGTTGAGCTTATCAAGGGCAGGGTGGACGTTGAGGCAGCCTTGCAATTGTAGCATCCCGCCGAGAAATACGCGACTGAACGATAGTTGTTGTCAAATGTAGTCCAATAGTCTCGCGCGTTGCCGCCATAGATGTAACAAATCATCGATGTGCTTTGATCAAGAGCGTACGCTGTGCAGCCAGGCACTTGCTTGCAAGCTTGGGCACACTGCTTGAACGGCCCCTCAGAGCTAACAAATCCCGTGATGCCCGTGGCGACCGCAAGAAGACCGGATGTCGCCACAGGAGCACCGGACAGATAGCAGTCGGGCGGCGTTCCGAACGTGCAAGCAGCAGAATCGTAAGCCGGCGCAGAGAAGGTCAGAACACCAGGGATGACTGGAGCTTGTGTCACTGCGGGTACACTCGTAGAAGACGACGAGGTTGTGGACGTCGTTGCCGCCGCAGGCGCAGGAGCAAGGGCAGCCAGGTCTCGTTGCTGGCAGCTGTAGCAAGTTTTTGCAAAGTAGACGACGGCGGCGAACTGAGCGTTGTAAGCGTTGGGATGGTACTTTCCAACTTGGCCAGAGTAGAAGTAGCACCACCATGTGGAGGCTGTGGCATAAGGGTACACGCCGACGCCGCGATCCAGTGCCCAGGAATTACACGAGTCGAGGTTGGCGCAGATGCCGGCACACTGCTCGTACGCTTGCTGCATGTTGCCCGAGACAGGCACAGGAGATGCAGTGGCTTTTCCGACGATATCGATGGTCGCTACAGGCATCCCAGACATTGTGCAAGTCGACATGTAGCCGGGGCTACTGCATGTCCCAGCCTGGTACACCCCTGCGAGATACGTAGGAACGTTGGCGGCCACGTTCGTCGCAGCCGGAGCAGCTGTCGTCGATGGAGCGTTTGTTGTGGCAGGTGGGATATACGTCGCCCAGCCAGCATTGCTTGTTGTGCTTGGTACGCGAGAAGAGCTGGTGCTTGTCGCTGAAGGTGTTGCCTGGATGATCACCACGGTTGATGAGACAATGACGGTCGAGCTGCTGGAGACTGAGCTCGATGACGGAGCTGGTGCAACAGCAACATCTCCAATTACGATGGGTACCGCAGTGGCAGGGCAGTACTGAACGATAATCAAGGTCGTGATACCGGCGCTGGTAGGCATGCTGGTCACCGTGGTATAGCTTCCATCCGTTGTCCAGATCCTGCTCGAGTAGATGACGGTGCTTCCAATCATCATAGTCAAGGTACACTCGGACAGGACAGCTCGCTTCGACGCTCGCTTCTTCAAAGCCTCAGTCTTGTACGTCAACTGTACCACGACGGAGTCTTCACTCTGCAGGTCAGGAGCAGACGCGGCGGCGACTGTGACAGAAGCTTGGCCATTGTCTGGTGGTGTAAGATCACTGTGGTCTCCATCAGAATTGCTTCAGTACACATCTCTGGTGAAAACTTACAGTACGGTCTTCCCATCAACGGTTTGAAGCTGAGCATTGTCGCCAATGGTGGCACCAGCTAGTGAGGCGCTGACTGCGTGGGGCAATGTAGCATCATTGGGAGCGGAGTTAGCGGAAGGCAGAGCCGACGAAGTGGATGATCCGGAAGCAGTCGAGGATGTCGAGGACGCGCCGGCAGACGAAGTCGATGACAGCGCCGGGCTATACTTGTACATATCCAAACGGTTGGGACCTCCACAACTCTCAGTGGCGTCGCCCACGCACTTCATGTTGCAGGTCGAAGACGCTGCAGACGTAGCAAGTGGGTTCACGGTGTTCCCCGCCCAGCACTCACGCGAGTACTCGATTCCAAAGTTGAGGTATCCCTTTGATATAGCCCAGTCTGCGCACTTCTTGACGGTCATGTCGTCGGAAGCATAGAGGTCGCCAAACGTTCTGCCGTTGGCGGCATCGTCAGTCCAGCATCCGAGGTGAATGAAATCGCCCACGCGATCGGCAGCCGTGCTGACTGCGCTGGGGGCAATTACAGGGGCGGAACTTGTGCTGGAGACTCCATTGGTCGTGTCCAGTGTATACATGTTCAACCGAGCTGGGCCACCGCAGAGGCTGGTTGAGTCTCCTGCGCAGGCCATGTTGCAGTCTGTTTGGTCAGTGGCTGGCAGACTGAGCGAGCCAAGCACGTTGCCGCACCAACATTCCTTTCCTATGCAAGATCAGATCAGCAGTTGAATTGAAACTGTACGCCAGGACTGCTTACCGTATTCAACGCCCATCCACGCACTGCCGGCACAGAATGTGGCACACATGTCAGGCGTCATGGCATTATCAGCACGCGTTCTGGACAAGGCACGTTGGCCCTGAACAAGATCACTGTAACATCCCGCAGAATCATAGCTCCCTGCCTTGGCCTTTGCAGAAGGGCCGGCAGGAGTCACAATGTTCTCGTTCTTGTAAACGCTGAGTCTGTTTCCAGCACCACATTTCTGAAAGCCGTTGCCAGGGCAGGCGAATGAGCACTCGGTGTCATCTGCGGCAAGAGTAGCAGCAACAGACAGCTTGCTTCCACACCTATGTTTTGTTAGTGTCGTAGGCAGAAGACCCTTCAGGGGCTCACTTGCCAGCACTCTCTTCCATACTCGGCACCAAAGTATGCCTTGCCAGCCGCAGCACAGATGTCGGCACATGCTCCCAGCGTCAATCCGTCGCTACCAGTGACAGTCTCAAGAGCACGTCCGTTCGAGGGTTCCATATAACTTCACAGAGTTAGGCATCTTCTTCGAGATGGTGGAGGGCTAAAGCTCACCATCCTTGGTACGTGTAGCCATGTTGTGCGGGCAGCGAGACGGCTCGTGGGCCATTGAATGGGACAGATACGACAGTCTGGGTTTGCAATGCTAGCAAGACCGCAGAGCCCAGACCAAAGAAATGAGTGGATTTGGCCATCTTTGACAATGAGCTCGGGGAAAGAGTGTAAGTGCGGAAATCGCAGTGTAGAGAACGAAAGATCGGATGGACGGTGGGATGGCAAGTCTGTGTCCTACTATCCAGCATGGATTCCGGTTTCCTTAAGTAACGATTGTAATGTACACCACGACCTGTGCTCCAGCTTCTCGACTTCTGAATCCAGCTTCCACCCTTTTCCGTATTCCAATTGAGAACGACGCCTCGAGACTACTTCCGACGCGGCCCATCCCACAGAGCTTAGGCGATCAGGGTTAGATTTCGTAGCCAGCCGGAGGCAATTATCGCTATTCGGAAAGGGAAATCACAGAACGATGTCGATTTCGGAAACCCATCCGAGTCCAAAGTAGTAAAGTGCTCAAAACAGATTTAGCCAGGGGTAAACCGCCATGTGGCTGGCCAACAGCTCTCCGGTGATGGCTCGGGTGGTATCCAATGACTAGCAAGATCGCGAGAAGCTAACTTAGCCACCACTTAGCTTGCAAATAGCCTCAGAGGGTTTCCCGCAGCCATGGCGAGGTAGATGAAGAGAATATTGCCAAGAAAAGAAATAATGGCGCTGGGCACCGTCCCGCGTTGAGCGAGCTGCAGGGGCCGCCGCTTGGCGTGAGGAGGCAATGACAGCACATCGAATTGTTGTTCATGGAGACCGATACGGATGAGTCGGCATGGACGAGAAGGCGGCTTGCCAAATTCCATACTGGCGGGATTGCCACGAGGAGTTCGTGGGGATGCCCCTCCTTTGGACCCTGATCGTCTGGCAGACCTGTGTGTCCCCAGGCTCTCGGGCTATCCAGCCCAGACTATCGACCCCAGGTTCTATGCTCTGATTTAACATAGAAGGCGTCTCGGCCCATCTGTCTTGAGTCAGAATAGTCGGCATGATAACTTTGTCACTTTGTGTGACAGTTCCAGATGAACCACCGAGTCTGGCGTGACTGGCCCCGACCAGACTGCCACGCAAGTCAAAGTTGACAGGAGGAGAGTCAGTCGCGGGTGCTACCGGCGTGGGGTCCAGCTGGTTGGTTCGCTTCGCTGCTTCACCCTGAGGCTAAAACAAGCCTTCATTGCAAAATCCAGACCGTCGAGCCCGTTCGCTGTCGCTTCTGGCTTTAGCGTCGCCTAGCTCTCAGCTGAGCTCCAAGTCGGCGGGAGTTACCTCCAAGCGAGCAAACAACATCGAAATGCCGAACAAGCTTGCTTGTCATGCCTGTTTCGGGTGCCAGAGCAATGCGAACTGTGAAATCGGCATGCGGTTGAAGCTGGTAAGCTGGATTTGGGAACCACGATGGAGACGCCAGAACAAAGGCACCTGCTCAGGGGCAGCTCTTGCTTAGTCATGCATCGTCGCACGGGCCACTGGAACTTCGCCTTGTGACGTGCTCCCTGACCAACTGACCTAGAATTAAATCTTTCGACGTTTCTGGTACCCCCGAAGAAGAAGTCGCAAGCACCCCCGATCGGTGAACTACAATACGCCCTCTGCAAAAGCCATCCCAAGATATGAAAAAGTAGTGCACAAATGCCGTAGATCATGTCACGTTCAAGAGGTTTTCTCTGCGGCTTCTTGTCAAGATCTTCACCCATCAGGCATCCAAGTTGACCTCACCCTGTGGAGTGCTAACAAACTTCTAGCGTTGTCTATGCCTTCTCAGGCTTGCACCCAGTGATGACATAGCTATAGACCATCAGTACGTTTCACAAGAATGATCCAAAATCCAAAATCAACTGTGAACTTACACCGGGTAATCAGCGTGGAAGTGTCTGTTCTTCAGATCCTTGCGCACGTCGATGAGGAAGGTGTCGACCTCGTTGCGCGTCCATTCCAGGGCGCGGGTGTAAGGCGCCATGACCATAGCCTCCAAACCATTGGTGACGTTTTCGTACGTCCATGTGCCGATATTTTTGTATTGCTGATCTTTGGGCCAGTCGTTGATTGGCCACTTGTGGAGTTTCAATCTAACGTCCACGAAGCCAACCTCAAGCATGATGGTCTTCAGGGACGGTAGGTCAAACCAGGGGCGTCCCATCTTCGTAGCCGCTTCCTTGAGCAGGATTGCCATCCTAGCGAACGCGCTGTCTTTGGGGAACGTGTTATCATCGGAGAAGGGCCAAACGTCTGCCTCCTGAAGCTCTAGCCAGCCGCCTGGTGTCAGGTTTCTGCGCTCATTATCAGTTGTGAATATTACATAACTTGCACTGTATGATGCTTACTCAAAACACCTGGTAAGGTATATCTTCCAGTCGCTGACGGCCGAGGTCAGCAATCGACTGTGGATGTAGTCGAAAGGCTTCGAGTAGGTCCAATCCTCCTCTAGGTCATCAATCTCGAATGCGACGTTAGGGAGCGTACTAAGGATAGCATGTTATTAGTAAAGTATGCTCTGAAGGACTGTGGTGGGGCAGGAGCTGCTTCTCACAAAGTCGGCAAAGTATGAGAGAGATCTACTCCGAGAACCTATTTAGACATTAGGTGAGTTGGCTAAATCTCCCAAAGAGAAAACATCACAAGCTTGTCATCAGGGCGACTAACCTCAGCCTCGGGATGTTCCTCTCCGAAATCAAGAGCCCAGATCCCTGTTCCTGTACCAACATCGAGGACTCTTCCGACTTTAGCGTTGGGATCGCAGGGGGGAGCCAGGCCGAGTCTATCATCCAGCGTATAGATCCAGATTTCATGCAACATATCTGCCCGTGTGTGAGAATATTGCATCGATTAGGGACACGCTGACAATACCTAATCTCTCGGCTTCCCTCTCGTCGTTGGGCCAAGAGTATTCTGAGAATGATTCATTCAATTTCACTACCCACAGATATGGGCTGTCTCACTGCCGTCCTTGTACCGATGGTAGGTTCTGCCATTCTCAATGCGGTATTCGAGAAGTGAACTGCTAACACTTGTACTCGATGATGCGACCGCCTGGGTGAATGCAAAGCATATTAGTCTTGAGTCCATCCGCTTCGAGTCGCGTTTGTTTGGCATCCCAAAGGCTTCTTACCGAGATTTCCGATAGTCCGTCATCTGTAGCCTGATCATAGTTAGCATCACGTCTGGGCCTCGACTGATAATTGGACTTACCTCATCACCAGCAGCTGCGATCTGCACTTCCTGGTCCGCTTCAGCCATGTTGGTTTAAGGATGGTTTTTGAGAAAAGATCCCACTGGTCCAATACACAACTCCAAGAGACACTTTCCAGAGAGTCGCACGGAATTTGTGGGAAAATGCAAAGTCGAGACCCGGCCGAGGTTTGGAGCGACACTCACTCATCCTTGTTGTGGCCGCACCAACATCCCGACTGCAACCCCTCTTCTTCAACAGGGGTTTACAGCAACCAACAAACGAAAACCCGCATATGCGCCGTGGCAGTCTTTCCTCTTTCGAGCAATTCTATGGAGCGAGGAAACTACGGCGGCGAATGAGAGACTCTATGCATGGGTAATAATCGCACAGGTGAACAGGACGGACAATTTCCTCCTACACATCGACGTATTCCCGGCCCTGCTGCCTGTGTTTCTGCGGCCGTAGACCAGGGAACCTGTGGAACTAGTGACATAACCGCGAAAGGCATACCGGATGCGGCACCTTCCAACTTTGGTAAATGATTTCTTGAAGACAAACTCCATTACCGCCAGAAGCGAACGGCCTGGAACGTGGTCTCCTCGTAGAATTTTCCGCAATAGAAGCCCGCTGAAGATTTAAAGACATGCCAAGAAATAAGAGCCAGCACCGTTTTTCTCGGGATCGTCCTCACAATGAATACATCCTATACATTAAGATGAACAACACAACTGAAATTCAATGCTCAACGCCAATCGGATTAAATCAGCAAAGCTCCAATAACCGAAAGATCTATCTGATTCCTTAAGTACGCTGAACGACATATTATCAACCAGTGAAGTCAAAACGAAGGACCTCTTTCCACCCAATGGCAACATGCAAGGACCGTCGCAGCCTTGATCACATCAATCGCTCTGAACTTCGCTGCCCACGGCAAGTTATCTGCATCTGGCCCTTCTTCTGACACGATTACGCTGTGTCAGAATGAGCTTCTTCCCTTTTGGCGTTCATTGGCGTATTTCGTGGTTCCGGGTTTGCTCCTCAGCGCTGTACCCGTGTTTTGCTGGCTCGGCTCCGAGCGTCAAATCGAGTGGTTCAGAAACCGCAAGCGCGACAGCAACTTCTGCTTCTGGTTGAGCATTATGTTGATCGTAGTCGGCAACTGTCAAGTGCCTATTATAAAGTTGTCTGCTATCAGTTACTGGCAGACGTGTTTGTTCAATTCGATTGCGGAGGGTTTAACAAGTATTTGCAGATATTGGGCAATGGAGTCATTACGACCTTTGTTTGTTCAACAGCACCTCACAGGTTCCTTGCGAAGCATTACGTTGTACGCAATTACCAAGACCCTCGAACAAGACGAAGAGATCGAAGAGGAAGACGAAGACGACGAGAACCAAAAGGACCCCTTCCACAACCACGCCCTTGCCTACTGAGCAAGCTACCAATGAGTACACGCACTACTCATCTTCGCTTGCGTATCAACCTTATTATGTTGCTTTAACCTCGAAATCTGGTTAAAGAAACAGGACAGCGCATGGTATGTTTCAAAGCTTTGACTGGCTACCTAGGGCAGCAGCCAAAGCGAGACCTCGCGCTCGCGGTTTCCGTTGGAAGCGAGCAGGTTACAGCAGGCGGGTCACCGAAGGTCCAGCGGGGCCTGTGTTTGTTGAAAAGAGCAAACAACGCAGTTCAACGGCTAAATGAGCCTCATCGACCAGGGTACGTGCAGACATCTCGGAGAGGAATAGTAATCACAGATGAGCTGGGAAATAGAAGAGTGCTATCAAGCTCGATGCGTACGACAAAATAAGGTTGCCAAGTTTAAGCCGTCAGAACCCGCTTACAATCGAGAAGAAAACCACCTCCAAGCTTGCATCAAAGCCCACCGACACGGGGAAATATCCCAGTTCACTCCGCACCGGACCCGAAAATACAACCCCACATCGGCAACTACGTCGTCGTTCCCGCCTCCGCGCTCGGAGACGGCGTCAATCTCCCCCGACCGCGACACCGCAACCACAAAAAACAGAGCGTCATACCTCACTTACGCAACCAACCAGGCACCGCTCAACAGCCACAAACAGGCACCTACCAACCAACACACACATACCACTCACCCAAGGCAGACACGAAAAGGGTGCAGGCAGCATCCATCTACAAATGCATCCCTCACGCCTCCGCACCCTGCTCCTCCCCCTCACCCGTCCTACCACCATCACCTCCCGCGCATTCTCAACGACACCTCCGGGCTTCAAATCCAAAATGCCACCACCTCCGCCAAACCCTCCCCTCGCCTACACCACCCTCCCCAAACTCAACCCCTACCTCGTCCCCTACCACCCGCTCCCCTCAACCACAGACACGGACCCGCGCACGCTGGTAACGCACCGCCTGGCCGTCGGCGCCGCCGTCCTGAACCTCTCCGCCACCCCGCCAAAGGTCCTCGTCCTCCAGCGCAGCGCCCTCGAAAAGGCCCTCCCGCACAAGTGGGAACTCCCCGGCGGCGCCGCCGAGGCCGTCGACGGCAACCTCGTCGCCTCCACCACCCGCGAGCTGTGGGAGGAGACGGGCCTGCGCGCCAAGACGGTGCTCGGCCTCGTGGGCAGCTACGAGTGGGCCGGCTTCGGGCCCAGCCTCGACGCCCCCGTCGGGCCCGGGGAGCAGGGGTTCGCGCTGCCCGGCGGCGGCGTCGGTATACGCGGCAAGCCGGTCGAGGTGCCGTCGGTGCAGACGGGCGGTGAGGGCGAGAGGTCGCCGGAGGCGGCTAAGGGCCGCGACGCGTGGAGGAAGTTTACGTACCTTGTCGAGGTTGAGGCGGACGGCGAGGGCGTGGCCAAGGTCGTGATCGATACCGAGGAGCACGAGGCTTTTGTTTGGGCTACGGAGGCGGAGGTGCATGCGGATCGCTCCGGCGAATTCCAGTTCGACTGGACTTCGGAGCATCAGAAGGCTGACATTTTGAGAGCATTCAAGATGGCAAAGAAGAATTAGGGATCACGAGCATGGGGAAGTGGCATAGACACAGCACGATTAGAAGCAGATGGACCATCGCCACTTATTCAGGCATCTAATATAGGTGTAATAGAAAATGTGTCTAATTTCGCCTTCATGGCTCTCTTACTTCTTCTTGGAGCCTTTTCCACCACGACCGCCTTTGCCTTGCTGGCCCTTAGCACCGCCGGCGCCACTGCTACCACCAGCCATCATCACCCTCACCTTGCCAACAGGCACGCAGTTGAAAGCCTCCTCGGGCTTGAGCGCCTTGATCAACTCAACTTCCCTCGGCCACATCTTCTCGCTGTCCTGCGAACGCTCATCAAGAACACCCTTCTTGGTCGACACTGCCTTCCACGTCTCGAACACCTCCTTGACAGCTTTGCCCTTCTTCACCGCACCGGGCTGGAGCTTCGCCTTGTACTTGAACTTGCCCATAGCATTCCACGGCGCACAGACGGGGATGGCCTCGAGAATCTCGTCCCCTGGCAGAGGTGTGCCGACAAGGTTGTCTAGCAAAGTCATTTTGCCCATCTCCTCGGCGTCGAGCACCTCGATACCCTCTTCGTTCATCAAACGACGGACCTCTTCGTGCTCGGCAATCTCCTTCTGCTGGCGCTGGTGCTGCGCGCGGCGTCGTTCCTTCTGAGCAGCCAGCTCCGCCTCTTTCTGGGCCTTCAGCTGCGCTTCGGCTTCCGCTCTTTGCTTACCACGAGCAGAACCATACAAGGACTCGGCAATTGCCCTGTCATCCTCATCCTGGTCCTTGTACTTGGCGGCAATCTTCTTCGCCTTACCCTTCTGACCTCGCTTGGCAGGTCGCGCCTTGTCGCCGGCTATCGTGCTTGTTTGGGGGCTGGGGACAGCAGCCTCGGCTGGAGTGGAAGCTCCAGTGGCACCCTCATCTGTACCATCTTCTCCCTCCTCTTCTGATGTCTTGGCAGCTTCCTTTTCTCGAGCTCCAGCAGCCTTGTCCTCGTCAAGCATCAACTGCTCAACTCCATCGACCGGAGGCTCGATTGCATCAGCGCCAGAGGCCGACTCTTCAGTTGCAAGCCTTTCCTCTGAGTCATCTTGCCCGTTCTGCCTGAAGCCCTGAAGAGGGTTGTCACGAGGCTTCTCGTCATCCTCCTCGTCACCAGATCCGATATCAGACGCGTCGTCAATTTCATCGTGCTTGGTTCCAGCATCTCCCGCAGCGTCAACCCCATCTGGCGCGGACGCCGGAGTAGCAAAGCCGTCATACAGCCTGTGCTTCACGTGTCTAGCCTTGCTCTCTTCGCTGATCTTCCACATGATACCAAAACCCAGTAGTAATTGCGCCGGTGGCAAAAAGTTTTTCTGGCCACGAACCATGAAACTTCCGGTGGGAAGATACTCTCCGGTCGGGGCAGACTTGGACACCTGGTCAGCTTTCACCCACCAGGCACCCATTCCTGCCTTGGAATCCCAAGCACTCGAGCTGCAGACGGCCAAAGTGCCAGCCTGCGCCAGAGTCGAAGGAGGGATGGGGGCATCGGGGTCGCTAGGGGTGTTCTTGATTATGACAGTCGCGGCGCCATGAATGTCTGCATGAATATAGACGTCGCCCTTGCGGAGATAGCGCTTGTACAACATTTCATTCTGCTGCGCGTCCTTGCCACCGAGAACCAGATAACCGTCAGTTGAAATGAACCAGATAAACTTCTCGAACCATATCTGCTTGCGGATCGGTGCGAGAACCGCTTTCTCCTGCTTCAAGCCCTTTCTTAACTCGGCCTGAATCTTTTGTTCGGCGTTCTTGAGCGCAATCTCTGTCTGCTGGACTGTCTTCTCCTCTTTCTTGGCAGCAGACCGCTTCTGCTCATAGTACTCTCTTGCGTTGGCGTAAGGCGTCAATCCAATGTTGACATCCACCTCCAAATGCTTTGCTGTTTTCTGCTTATTGTTCGCTGCCTCATCTTCGCTGTCCGATGCATCCGAGTCGGTCTCGTAGTTGGAATCTTCGTCCTCAATATCCTCCTCTTCGCCAAGCAACAAAGTAATGGTGTTGTCCGCGAGGTTCAGGGGTAGCTTGATAATCTCGGCAACGGGGTTGCCGCGCTTCTGTTCGCGCTCGATAAGCTTGCTGATGTCGATCCAGTCCATTCCTTGTTGAAGTAGACCGTTGACGGCGTCCATCGCCTCTTGCACACGCTCCACGTTCGCCTCGATAGCCGTGGCCTTCTGTACATTGAGTGACTGCACCTCCTGAAGGCCCTCAATGCGCTTTGCCTGATCATTCCGTGCCGCCTCAAGCTTCCTTTTGGCTGCCGCCTCTCGTTCTGAAAGTTTGGACTCAAGCTTCTGGCCCTCCAAAGATGAGAAGAACTCGTCAACGGTCTTGTTGAAGCCGTCAAACTCGAGAACTTTGATAGTGGGGTCGTTCGCAAACTTGTTTGGTAGGAAAGGATGGAAATCTTCGTAAAGGAGGTCTGATCTCTTCGTTTGCCCTTCCTCCGCCGGGGTCTCGTCCGTTTGGTTCCTATACTTCGCAAATATGTAGCCCTTGGCAGTAGCAGAGCTGGTGGCGTCCTTGACTATGCTACGTGCCTCTGTCAGGGCGACCAGAAGATCGTCCAGCAGGGTCTCGTTGTCCAGAATTTCGGCAGGCTTCTTGCTACCGTCAAAGCCGGTGGTTTTGAAGGAGTGGTCCACCAAGATTGGAGGCAACTCGGTGATTGTTGTCGCTAGGCTTCTCCTCAACTCATCTCCTGGCTTCGACTTGCTCTTCTTGCCTGCCGCAGCAGCCGCGGCACTCTTCTCGACCGAGGCCTTGAGCGCATCTCGTATTCTCTCCTTTGTGAGCTCGGGGACGCCGTTGAAGTTTTGTCGGTTCTCGAGCGAGTATTCTAGTCCAACCCTTTGAGGTTCCTGACCTTCACCCTCAGAGACGTTTCGCAGTAGTGTAAGAATCTTGAGGTCGGCGTCCGTCAAGATCACGTTTCCGCTCTGCGCGCAGTTAGCTATTAGCAGCGTGAAAGCAACGTTGGCAGTGGTGGTGGTGTCGACTCACAGCAAAGAACTCGAGGAAAAGACGGTACTGGCCATCGCTGAACTGGAATTCTAGAATTCTGTCGGTTCCGATCTGGGAGACCTTGGTCAAACGCCTCGTCTTGAGGAACTTGCGCAATCGCGTGACGAAGGCAGAGGGCGCGGCGGCGGTCGTGCGTGTAAAGTCTGTGAGGTGGCATCGGAAACCCGAATCGATTATGAGCTGCTTCTTGTTGTCCGGCTTGGCGAACTTGAGCAGTAGGATCTTGGAGGAGAGGTCGTAGACGTTGGCCAGGCGCAAGCTGACCAGGTTCTCCTGTAGCTCGTGGGCGATTACCTTGACGTCGATGGAGGAGAATCGTTGCTTCATGATTACGGTTGTACGGTCTCAGGCAGTCTATATCAGAGGAGTAGAAGGTTTGCGCCGGGTGTTTCGCGGCAGCTTTCGGTGTAGATGTGTGCCGACTGCGGCGATCAACGACGACGAGGGGCAGATTCTGAGGTGATTGAATAATCGCGGGGCAACTGTGGCTGAAGAGCCGCCTTCGCAAGATTGTACGCCACAATGACGTCACGTGCCTCAAACGCTTCCTCGTTTGATGCCCTTTGATGGACACCAAGGCTTGCAATGATAGGAATGCCAATGCAATTCACTAAGTACTGGTAATATTTTCAATATTTGCATCAATTCCATGACTTTGTTTGCTCAGATCTCTTGTCTGCCTTTCCAGACTCCATGACGCAGACCGAACTAGGCGCCACACTTCAAGCTCCATAGCTCGGTGGCCAGTGTCTGCTAAAGCTGACAAGCTGATGCTGACCGAGCTTCAAGAGGTTTAAGGGCTGACAGCTCTGCTAACAAGGACAAAGAGGTCTAAACTTTGGCCTCAGACAAGGCCGCGGTATGGCGTATCCTAACTTGCAAACTAGTTTGACAGACGGGAACGATGACAGCGGCGCCTAATTCAAGAGCCGTGTCTTTGTCACCGCTAGGCTTTGATTGAACGTCAAGTCGTCTACGCATGCCCAGGGGACATCTCAATCAGGGTCGAAGTAGACACGGCTTCTTCAGAGAATTATTTCACTCAGCGCAAGTGTTGAAACTATGGGAGAAGGCCCTCTCCATCGTGGAATGGTCTTTTTCGGAGCTAGACGCCGGCGAGGCCAACAATGAGGCGTTCCCTTCGTCTACGGCCACTCCTGTGATTTATTCACCACTGACAGATGAGTAGGCCAAGCCATGCTGAACTGGATTGAACGTCATTTGGCTCTCGCCTGGCAGTTGGCCCTCTGTCGCGCTGGTACAGACAAGCACTGCAGAGCTGTCGCTACAGTCTGTATGCATCGTCGGAGCCCGAATAGACACGTCGTCGCGAGACCGTCGCTGGATTCGCGCCATCCCCATCGGCCAGCGCATCACCGTGGAGGTTGAGCAAGTGGCGGTGTCTGACCGTATGTACGTCCATGAATGTCTCGCCTGTCCTCAGGTCTCGTGGAATGGGATCCATGTCAACTCGAGTCCTCCTTGGTCATCGATAGTCGTTCGTCTCGAAACGCTACCGCATCGTTGTACTGACAACAACAATCAGTGGAAATTTGCGCATTTTCAAAGGCCTTCATGTGATCAATAGCAGACCAAAATTTCCCCCAATTTGTCGGCGCTTCTGCGAAGGTTTACGGTGAGGATCGTCCAGCGTCGAACATGTGGCTTCCCCATACGGCTAGAGCGGGGACCAGGGAATTTCTGGTCGTCCGGGCAACCAGGAAACCAGGGTGTGTCAAGGGAGCACCCGTGCGTGCCGAGAAAAAAAAAAGTTCGTCTGGTCTGGTGTTGACCGCGTGGCTGGGAACAGTCGAGGGCCTGGAGCAAAAACCCAGATCAATTGGAAGAAAGCCAGGTCCAGGGACATCGTCAGGTTATCAACATCTCCAACCTCCCCCAGAGATCAACAACCATCTGTGGGAGACAGGCCTGCAGCGGAGAAGTCTCTCCAGAGTCCAGGTCTTCTCATTCGATTCAGGGGAAATGGGGAAGCCGGCGGTCGAGCTCCATCCATGCATTGGCTTGATGAGGACCCCACTCGGGCGCTGCGGGCAGGATCCGTACGGTAGCTCCAAGTCTTGGTTTGCGTTTCTCTTGCATCTCTGCGGCGTCTGCGCCTTCAACCTTTGGGCTAGGCCTGGGAGATGGGACAGAAAAAGCAAGTTGCCAGCCAGCCTCGTTTTGCATGTGCGACCGTCAACGTGCATAAGTTGTGCGGTGGTTGCAGACGGACGGTCCAATGGTGGGATTCCACGACGCTGATGGCCCAGAAATCAGGACCGGTACTGGTAGTCGAGAGCGGCCGTTGCTGATTCTCAGCAAGGCATCATCAGCAGGCGACGGCCTGAAAGAGAGGGTCGAGGGGCGGGTGAAGCTGAGGGTGGTTGGGGAAGCTTTGAGAGCTGGCCAATTGAGTTTGCGGGCTGCCGCGGTCAGGCAATTGGGGCCATGCAGACAGTCGATAGCGGGCAAATTTGGGCCGTGGTCGAAACGATGATCTTCAAACCCAGCCACCTAGTCCGGCTGTTGTTTTGATGTATCGAGTGCGTCAGGATCATCAACAACAGACTGCCAAATGTGACAGGCAGCCATCAGCTCATTCAGTACGCAATTGCAGCAGTGGACGTTGCAGCTGGAAACACTGGACCGCGGCTTCTCTTCGTGCCTAGCGTCCGTCTCTGTCTCTGTCCCCATGTCTCTGACCAGATCGAACACACGAAAGGACAGGCGACTGCTGATTGGCGGACGGTCGCGCGGTAGCGGCCATCACGGCATTCGACTTGATCGTAGCGAGCGAGGCGGTGGGACATGGAATGATTCGTAGGTTCCCGACGTTCTGAGCTTCTGGACCAGTCTCGAGTCTCGGCGACTCGCGGTGGGAATCCGGGGGTCCCCTATTTTCGTCCAAGGTCCCGGTTTGTTGCGTTGGCTGCTCCGTGCCAGTGCTGCTCGATTTCTTGTCAAGCAGGGACAGACGGCCAACAGATGGCCCAGATGCCAGGTTTTGCGAAGGTTGGGGCCGTTCTGCGACCAAAATTGATTGCAATCTGTTGCTGGTGAACGAAAAGGCCTGCAATCTTCAGTGGAGGGAAGGACCCAGAAACAGCCGAGGAGGACGATGGTCAGCCGGTCAGGCCAGCTTCCAGCCTCCGGCATCCAGCTTTGAGGACTCCAAGAGGTTGAAGCGGGACCTGGAGCGGGACTCCAGCAGTTCGCCAGGGCAATCAATGCTGGACAACTCCACTGTCGGAGCTTGCGCAACGCAACGCAAGCGGCTGGGAGGTGGAGAGGGAGCAGCAAGTGATCCTGATTCTGATTCCCGATGGTTTGTTGACAGTGGATCTGTAGGGGACCTTGAGGCTTGGTTGCAATGGTCGCCGGTCGGGACTGGGAGGAGGCAAGCACCTCATGGGCACCTCATGGCAAGCTCCGTGGAAAGCTCTGAGCAAGCAGCCCGACGCCTCCCGTCGCCGCCCGCGTCCTCCGTCCAAAGTCGTCCGGTAGTGGCAGTCGTGGCGGCAGCATCTTGCATGAAGACGGCTGCAAAGATGCCTCGAAATGATCGCAAGTGCATGACGATGCTCCGTTGGGCCAATTGGCACCGTACGACCAACGTTGGGCCGTCAATTGGTTTAGGCGCTGTTTCCACGCTGGCCGGAGCTGGTGCTGCTGGTGAGACTGGAAGCGGGAGTGAGATGTGAGGCCGACTCAGCACGGCGAGGATCAGAGGCCACACAAACAAGGTGAGACGAAGGCGCGGAGGGAACTCCTTGGTACGCTGCTACCTCGTGCTCCGTACCAGGTAAGGTGCCTAGGTGCTGCCAGCAGCTAAGGTAGGAATCGATCCAGCCCAGGGTCGCAACCAAGGTGGGCCCTGTGAGCTCGTACCTGCCGAAACCTCATTTGCAAGGCTGCCACCACCCCAACTGAAGGCATCCAAGGCAGCTCCTGCAGGGTGTCCCAGGCGTTCCAGGGCGTCAAAGCTTCGAGCTGCAGAGCTCCACCCCGGTCGGCCCCGCTCTGGTGCTGCCGGCTAATCCCAATTGGGCGGGAATAAACAATGGAATATCCACAGCTGCAAGTGACGGGAGTCAATGTAAACATTTGCCCACAACACACGCACCCTCGGCAGCCATCGAGCGATTCAATCCCCAGCCAAACCACCCTTGGGAAGGCTGGTTCAATCTGTTCTCATCTCGCTCCCGCCCGTGGTTTCCATCATTGACTGAGTGAGAGTCTTGACTTGACACTCGCGGCGGCGCACGCACACGCCATACGACACTACCAACTAAGGTAGGTATTGCGTGTATCTTGGGAGTAGTGTACTTCCCACCGACACATGTCGTCTGTCTGCTAATTACTGCACCAATGTACACTAGGTGATAGTCAGGTCCTGGTCATCCCACAGACAGACGCCAGTCACCACCAGTCAGGACTTGGCTCCGTCTATCAAACTCCCGGACGGACCTTCGTACTAGCAGCCAACTTCCTGTCGTCGGTTCCAGGAAGAAAAAAAAAAAGTACAAGTCGACATCAAGCCAGACCCAGCTCCATATATCCAGCATCCATCCATCCGCTCCAACCACTCACATCGCACTTTTCTGCCGCCAGTCCCACATCTGCTCTCACCAAAGCCTCGTTCAATATCACTCCGTGCTTCACTCGGTCCAGCTTCCTTGTCGAATACCTCGCCTCCGAACCGTCAAGTCAAACACACACACGCACATACGGCAGCGGTACACACGCTCGTCCACGCTCACACTCACACACACACACATACGAGACTCGAGACACACCACCCTTGCTTGCCCCGGCAACCTCACAGGCTCAGCAGCCCTCGGTCTTCTGCATCTCACACTTCTGATCCATCCAACCATCTCCCCCAGCCCCCCGTCTTCAAAACCCAATCCGCATCGCACATCTCGCCTGACCCTCTTCTCCCTCCTTCTTCCCTCTCTCCCCATCCATCACCAAAGCTTCAAGCCATCTTTCTGCCCAACGCTCCCCTCGCGCAGAATCACCGACTCTTCCTCCAAATCCAAAGCAGAAGACCAGAAAGCAAAAGAAGCGCGAGTCACCCAAAGACCGGCTTCTTCCCTCTTTCACCTTCTCCTTTGTTTTTTTAGGAAAACGAAGCAAGAGGATACTCTTCTTTGCCTTCCTTCTACCGGGAACGCTTAGAAGATTCTCCTCGTTGCGCCCAAAAGGCCGCCAATCTGGATTTTGAAGCGCGCATTCCCGTCCCCTTCAGCGTCTTCCCCTCCACCTACAAGGAGAGTGAGGCACAAACCCAGACCCAGACCCAGACAGTAACCACTACCCACGAAGAGCTCGAGATCAAACTCCCCGAGAAGCCTCACAAGCCCGGACGGGAAGGTCACGTCTCTTCGTTCCCTCAAGAACAACTTCCCCCTCCCAGGAAAGACCACCGCGTCACCGAAGAGGTCCGTATCGAAGAACACTACCACCGTCCCGGTCCCGGTCCCAAGGTCGAGTCCCACACCTACGTTGAGGAGTTCCGGTATGTGCCTTTTGTCCCCCGTTTCCTAGTGTACAGCAGCAGCAATCCCAAAGCACCTCCCGAGAGAGAAATTGAGCTCGAGAGAGGGAAAAAGAGCCAGAAAAGTACGGAGAAAGTTGGCCTTGAGCTTCCAGAGAAAAGGACCCTCCAATTGATGGGGGTCCGGACATCTGGAGAAACAATGGTCTCTCTCTCACCTCTTGGACTGTCTCTCTGTCTCGCTCACTCTCTTTCGGTCTCCATCCCACCCAGCCCGTTTGTTTTCTTCCACACACACCCCCAAACACCACAAACCCACCCGCGGTCACCGCCTCCCCATCCCCCCTCCCCTTGGCCCTCCTCTCTCTGCCTCTTCCGACCCTCCTCCCCTGTCCCCAGCCGCGGGACCGCCTCAGCTCGGGCCCCGGTATTTCACCAAATTTCCTCTGCTACCCTTGTCCATTACGAGCCGCCGACCATGGACCCTGGGCGCCTCCTCCCGGGACCCTAGTCCGCAGTTGGCCAAGTAACAACATGTCACATCAAACATGTCAACTGGATCAAAAAAGCTTCCCCATCAAGCTCTTCCCCCCCAACTCACCTATCTCACTCATCTATCCCATCCAAACATTCGACTGACCTTTCTTCTCTTTTCCTTCTCTCCAGCCCTGTCCACCAACACTTCCACAACACCACCAACGAGTTCAACAACGACACTCGTGTCCAAGTCGACCACCGTCACCACGAGCACCTGGTAAACCCGATTGATAGAATCGAACGCCAGTACCGTCAACGCGCTCAGCCTAGCTACTACCGCGAAGAGGTCACCATCGAGCAACGTCCCTTGGCTTTGCCCGCTCACTCTCACCACTCTTCCGGTTCTTCTCAGGTCTCGGGTCACTCCCACAAGTCCGACCACTCCTCCTCTCACCACTCCCACCACTCTCACCACCACCACTCCGACCACCACTCTCACCTCTCCTCCCACTTCCCCTCTCACCACCACCACCACCACCACCACCGCCCCGCCGCTTCCCACGTCGACGAGTACACCGTCGACTCCGAGCGCCCTCGCCCCCAGGAATTCAAGGAGACCATCAAGGTCACCGAAGAGACTATCGAACCCTCCCACGTGTCTGCCCCCCAGCACAAGTCCGACAAGATGGGTTACTACGACGAGCAAGGTATGTTACTACTCCCCCATCCCACCCGGGCTTCAAACCCCAAAGGCCCTGGTGTGATGACCCCCCTTGCGATGCTTTCTTGGCTTCAGTGTGTTTCGGTTTGCGCAGTGTGCTCTCCCCCACTATGGTCCAAGAACTGAACAGGTGTTTGCCGCACCAGGTCATTATCACTCTTTCCGCCAGGGTCTTCACAAGCTGGCTGACAAGATTGCTCACCCGCATAAAGGCAGCTCCACCGGCTACGAGATCGCCGAGATCCGTGGTGCTTCCCGCCCTTCGTCCCCCGGCAACACCGGTGCCCCTCTCCTCCCCAACACCGTCACCATCCCCTGCCACCACATCCGCCTCGGTGACTTCCTGATCCTCCAGGGCCGCCCCTGCCAGGTCATCAAGATCTCCACCTCCGCCGCCACCGGCCAGTACCGCTACCTCGGTGTCGACCTCTTCACCAAGCAGCTTCACGAGGAGTCCTCCTTCATCGCCCACCCCTCCCCCAGCGTCGTTGTCCAGACCATGCTCGGCCCCATCTTCAAGCAGTACCGCGTCCTCGACCTCTCTGACGGCCACGTCACTGCCATGACCGAGACCGGCGACGTCAAGCCCAACCTCCCCGTCATTGACCAGTCCAACCTCTGGTCCCGCCTCAACAGCGCCTTCGAGTCCGGCCGTGGCTCCGTCCGCGTCCTTGTCCTCAACGACGCCGGCCGCGAGCTCGCCGTCGACGTCAAGGTCATCCACGGCTCCCGTCTGTAAGCGTGTGAGCGTCACCGCCACCACGCGCTATGTTACTGTTACGTCTTGGATTGTTGGGATCTAGCAACATGTACGAAATACAGATGATGTCAATGTAATGGAGAAATGTGTGAAGGGAAGGGTTGAGATTGGACGAAAATCTTTCGGATAAAGGATCCACGGAGTCAAGTCTTTTACGTAGATAAAGTAGCTCTGTATATGATCTGTCATCCATACCATCTGTCCCGTGCAATCGTGTCGCATTCATCAATGTTGTTGTCCACTCAAGAGCTTGGGTCTGGTTATCTACAGTGTGGACCAGAGCTCCCCTGGCTCTGTCTCCACAACCATGAGTTAGCCTCCGCAAGTGACCACTGCAGTGTGCCATCCATCATGCTTCCATGTAAGTCCACGCTCGCCATGTTAATGAACTGCCACAGCCCACCAAGTATGTAGACATTTAGAAAAGTCCAACCCAGAAGACATTGCTGTGACCTCAAAGAAATGCATTCGGCTCCCATCCTCTAGAACTGTGGGCAACACTTCTCTAACGGCACCACAACCTCTCGATACACCAACTCCGCAAACCTCGAGTCGCCAAAGTCGTCCTCGCGATCAAAGTCAAAACAAATACACTTGCGAATAGCCTCATACAAGCCCCCGCCGAGATCTTCACCAATGTACTCCTTCATCGACTTCTGCGCCCTTCCAACCCAAAGGAAAGCCCCGCAAAACATGGTTATCTCGTTCGGCTGCCCGTTCTCATCCAGAGATTCCGCCCACGAGGCTTGGTTCTCTAGCGTCTCCCCATGGAAAAGCTCCAACAGGACAATGCCCAATAACAACAGCGTGGACTTTGCATTCCACATTCTCTGCTGCGCTGTATGACTCGGGGGCTGCAGGTCGCGGGAGCTCTTGGCAAAGAAGGGGCCGAATGGCCTTGTTGTTTGGCCTCCCGCTTCACTGCAGACGAGAAAGATGTCGTTTTTGGCAAGCTGTGGTGGGATCCAGGCGGAGGTCGCGAGACTGAGGAGTGTGAGGGCGAACCGAAGGCCCATGTAGAGGCGGTTGTAGCGCATAGACGTCGTTTGGAGAAAGGCGTCGATGGTTTGCTGCCTAGATACGCCAAACGAGCTCTGGTCAACAGGTTCTGGCTTGAACGTGATTTTCCTGCTTGCGTCAACAACCAAAGCGTTTTTGCAATCTTTAGCTGTCGGCCCAGCTAAGTTGCAAAGGTTTATCAGATTCTCTGCCTTAATAGTATGCAAGTTCGGGATTGACGAGGTTGGAGGAACAGGCGCGTCAGCGAACCGAACTGCTGGAGGAGTAGGAAGACCAATTGGCGAGGAGACTGAAAATTCACTAACTCAAGCTTTCAATGTCGCCCACAGCATGTTGGATCGGAATCGGGCTGACTTACCTTTCTGGCGGGGTGCTTAGACTAATGCTGTCCGCCAAGACTTGAGCGATACCAGATACGGGGCTTTGTCCAAGGCTCGGAACAGACCTTTGATTCGACTTTGTGGTCAGCAGAGATGGTGAAAGGCTATTCTGCTTGATTTTCAAGGACGTTCGCAGCTTCCGTATCATGCGCCTCAGTATCGACTTCTGAACCGGTGCCGCCTTCAGGGGATCTGAAACCGGTAATGGAGCCATAACCAACGAGCCGATGCCTTTTTCGTTTGCCATTCGAGATGCCAATTTATGCTGATCTCTTGAAATCATTTGACCTTTCAGATCAACAGCTGCTTCTATATTAATTATGGGCCTGGTGAGCGAGGCGGCCAGAATAATGGTGTAGGTTCCACACAGATATCCTCAACTTGGATTCTTAGCTGCCGCCTTTTCATTTCGGTCTCGAAGATAACGTCAAAGTACCCATCAGGTCTCGTTGTTTTCGATTTCAACGCTGCGGGCTGGACAGTGATTCCGACTGTATGTGAACTTGAACATCCGCATTGCCAACATCGTGCCAGGCATTCGTAGAAGGTTGCTGCTTGGCTGTGTCGCTCTTGCAGGTAGACTTTTGGTTTGGATACGGCTTTCCTCGTGACTCCTGATGCTCTGTCCAAGTGTTGGTGTAAATCATCGTTGATCTGAGTTACACGAGCCAGGAGACGATCTTTGTCACTGCTGAAGCTCATCTGTAGGCGGTAGACTTCGCTTTCTAGACTAGATGAGTCCAGATGATGTAGCTTTAGTTCAGATCAGTACAATCCTCAAGTTGCTAAGCTGTTGCCCACAAAAATGAATTTTTACTTCTCACCTTACCGATGGGCAACAGTTCCTGCAAATCAAGGACAGCTTGATTGAGATCAGTCAAGCTCCACATAAACCATCGGTACTCTGATGATAGACGCTGCCGCAGCCCATCTTGGACGTGGAGTTCGTGCCACAAGTCGCACTGCGGACTCCGAAGCAGGCTATTGTACTCGCTGTCCGAAATATCCAAAGGATCAAGAAAGCGCTTCAGCACCAACGTGTAAGAAGCCTCCTGTGTCGTTAAAGTAGAGACAAAAGTCTCAAAAGTTGTCTCGAATTGCCACCATGACTTCGCCTTCCTCAAAAAGCCGGCAATCTCCTTGGCGGAGTCGCAGAGAAGAGGGAACGAACCGAGAACGACACCGGCAATCTCGAATCCCGACATGACGTTTGTGCTGTCTCGATTGTCAATTCGAAAGAGTCGATTCTATGGCGCTGGAATAAGTTGAAGATGAAGTTGCGGCTGTTGGCGGTGTGGGCTCAGGTGTCGGATCCCAGGCGGGCTGAGCCTTCTGGCTGCATGAGGTTACACATGTGTCATTGGTTCACACACTGCAGGCTGAGGCAGGTGAGATGAGGGGGTCACAGAAGTTTAGAAACTAACGCATGACCTAATCAACCAGACAGTAAGAACGCTCCCTCTGCAACGTCCTCTTTTTCCAACAGTGGGAAACCATGACGACCCCGAGGGGCGCACATCGGCTTCCCGGGGAGGTATCCCGTGAGCCTCTTCCTGGGTCTGTTCCTGGGCCTCTTCCTGCGCCTAGCATTTCGTCTCTAGCACTCGACTGCGATTCAGTACTTACCAGTCTCCATGAAATGGTGCCTTTATCTTCATATCTGAAATTAGAAAATTCCATCACCGATGAGGTAGCGAGGTACAAGATATGGGCTGCGAACATCGGCGCTCTACGCGATGCAAAATCGGCAGGCTCTCTCGACTCGAGATTGAAAAATTCCAGCCGTATAAGGCTATATGTCACGTCAGGTCTGGAAAGATTACAAAATGCCGTTGACAGAGGTCAGGTTATAACAGGAATCCATCTTGGTCAAATTATGTAGCTAACGTGATCTCTCAGCATCCGAGATTGTGGCGGGAATCAAGCCCAACAGAACTACAGATTCTCTCCTATCTGATGATCAAATAACAAAGCTCACCACGCAACTTATCAATGAACATGAGCTCGAAAGAACACAAAATGGCACTACTGAACTCGCAGAATTATTCTTCAACATTCGCTCATGTATTGCAAATCTTTTCACACTATCGACATTAATACGTCAGGACCGTCCCCGAGGACGTCTACAATGCCAAAGTCCTCTTTTACACACGCAGAACGACGCCGGTCCTGATATAACTAATGTCAAGGACAAGTTCCCGAAGCTGAGACAAAGACCGTGGCTCGCAGAAAGAATAGGAAAACGCATCTCTCAGCAACGCGATTATATTAGATATCGACAGGTTCATCGCCAAAAGCTCGCGAAACGTAAACTCACCGACCCAGTGACCCAAGATGGAGGCTCTGGGATCTTGTCCAATAACGCCACTACGAAAGCGACTACTTTTGTCGAACAGCTTGCTGTGATTGATGAGACCAGCGAGGTTGCAGGAGAGACCTTTACGGACGGCAGCATCCATACTGAAGCAACGTCATTTGCTACAACTGCCTTTGGGGATGATGGTCCAGGCCGTGGTATCCCGTCGTTAACTTCCATGTGGTTGGACGGGGTCCACCTGGATTATGATAAGCACATCGAGTGTCCTTATTGCCGTACGATCCAAATCATTACCGATAGATCTGATTGGAAGTATGCAAGCCTTCCTAAATCCCGGGCTGGGCTCACAAGCTCGCATACGCTGATAACCATCACAGGCGTCATGTTTATCACGATCTCCAGACCTACAGTTGCACTTTCGAACACTGCTCATCAGAACCGTTTCGGACTTCTCATGAATGGTTCAAACACGAGCTGAATTGCCATCGACGGCAATGGAAGTGCATCTGGTGTAGCACCAGATGTGACTCCGCCTCGGCTCTAGAGACTCACTTCGCTTCACAGCATCCTAAAACGGTGTCGGTGGGACAGATCAAGGTCATGGTGGAAGCTTGCGAAAAGGCAATCATCCATTTCGACGACACCGCTTGCCCTCTATGCAATGGCTGGAAGACAGCCTCAACAACGGACAATAACTCCAGTAAATTTCGCTCACACCTCGCAAATCACCTGCAGGAGCTGGCTCGAGAAGCTCTTCCGTTAGCGATTGACGGCCTCGATATTAGGGAGCATGAAGAAGCTGATCGTGAGAATCGAGAGGAAGAAGGCGAGTTCGAATCAATATCGACTGGCGACAGCAATGCTAGCCATGGCGCCCCGACTTTGGTTTTTATGGTCCCATACGGAAAGTTCTCCAAAGCTGAGAGGCAATGGCGGTGTTTAGTGAACGGTAGCTCAGGGCTCTGTCAGACTAGGTCCTCTGGACTGGAAGATCTGGAGAGACACGCGAAGGCTGCACATCCTGAAATCAAAGCGGCTATGCATGTGTGTCACAACGCGTGCCCAGAATGTGGCAAAATCCTTGCCGCAACTGAGTGCGACGATTGCATCAACCCTCCTGACTCTGAAGTTTGGATGTACGCAGCTTCCAGAGATTTAAAGGACCCGATCAGCTTTGAGGCGGATTTTAAGCAAAGATCCATGCTGAATCTCGAAATTGCAGGTGAGATCAGAAGAAACGTGTGGAGAAACAGCTTCATGACAGGGATTCCTGCTCGACGTGAAGAGGGAATGGATCAAGACCCATTCATGAACGCTTATCTGGTTCGAGAAGGAGGTCATCCCTCATTTCAACCTTCAGATTCCGACTACGTGAGAGAAGAGGTCTCGGTCATAAAGTTTACCGATATCCTTGACCGAACCTTTCACTTCCCGCTCAGCATGTGTTTAGATTACCCGGTAGGACCTGCTACATCACATATTGCAGACTAATTGACGCTGACTTTAATCAAAGACCATGATAGATATGGTCAAGATGGCATTTCTTTATGAGGACTTTGCCCAAATGGTGATAGCTGGGAGTTTCGAGTTATTGAACTCCGAGAGCGACGTTATCTCCCCAGTGGTCTGGAGCCGGGTAGTTGGACCAGGCTCTATGGTCAAAATGCGCCTTCTCGAAACTCCGGTATCCGCCAAGACTGGATACTCAGATGCGGCGGAAGAACCGGGCCCCCTGGAAAATCAACCTATTTTGAATGAGCGACCTGAAGACAATGTAACGTTCGGCATGGTCAAAAAGCAAGAGCCCGATGCTCAAAGCGTGCGCTCATTTTCGACTGCACCTTCAGGTTTGACGGCCTTGTCCAGTGTGCAAGCCAAGCTCAATCGCGTATCCCCAATTTCCTCGCCGAGGAAGCTTGGCTGCGAATTCAATACGTGGACCAACTGCCAGGTATCCTTCGACCTTGAGGAGGTTGACCAATGGATCCGGCATGCAGAGGATGAGCATCTTCGCCGTAAATACCCATCTACATGTATCTGTTGGTTTTGCGACGACTTTGAGTTTAGAGCTGAACAAAGCTTAGACGCTGGAATGAACTTCGAACACCGTATGCGGCATATTGCGGATCATATTCTCGACGGATGTCATTTCGAAAACAGGAGACCAGACTTTCATTTCCTAGACCACGTGTATGACATGGGATTGATTTCCTCTGAAGCCTTTGCTCTTGCCAAAGGCCAGAGTGAAGGAGCGCCTGCACCTGCAGGTGTTTCTTCATCAGGCTTCAGACCAACACGACGGTCTAGCTCGGAGCCAGTCGTTGAAGTCATAGAAACTAGCAGGAGGAGACAACGCAACAGACTGCGTTATCTCTGAACGAATCTATTAATCATTGAGTGTCCCATGTTTCCAACGGCACGAAAGACACTATACATGTTACATCGTATTGCCATTTTCTCTGGAATGGGACTTGGCGATCTAGCGCTGCAAGTTCCTCCAAAGATCCGGACAGTAGTCACCCGAAAACCTATCTCGGCACAGAGAGCATCCGGTATTGTGGGCCTCGCCGGTTTACCGAAATTCCAGCGGAGCGGTCCGGCAGGACGAGGTAGTCCTTAAGAAGTGATCCTATCTATTAGGGTCAAGTCGTTCAGGTGCAGACTCTCACAAGGTTTAAGTGAACAAAGAGTTAATTAAAGGTTCTTATCGGTGCTTCTATGGATTGCGTGGCGTCCCGATGACTGCTCTGTCGGCACAAACTGTAATACGTCCAGCGAATGAAGTGGACTCTATTGCGACATTTCCTGGAAGCAATCTCTGGAATGGCATCGTCGCCCATATTGTAAGCGCTCTAATCCATCAGACCCATATCATAATCCAAGTGAATGGCTGGGAAGTCCGGCATCACAACCGATGGGCAAAGAAGCGCATCATGTGAGGACCCTGTGGGTGCTATCATAGGCACCTTGATGGACTCGCGCAGTGTCTCGTGTATCAATGGCGTGCGTGACTAGCTGTCATTGGCAGCTAATCCCTGCTGATGCACCCCTCATCTTATCGCTGTTTGGCTGGTTTGGAGTGATCCCACCAACCTCCAACTGATAAGCAACCTAGCTACCCCGGGTTCCGGGAAGCTCTCAATGGGGGGCATGGAGGCCACGGTTGGGGGATGGGAGGACCTTCCCTACCTTGCCTAACGTGCAAAAAGACACTCACCTGCTTTCTCTGGCATTCTCGGTATCAGGCGGAACGTGTTGAAGACTGAAACGGGGGAAACTGAGTTGAAGGAGGGGTGAGGGGTTAGTTGCTTACGACTCGGGTGCTTTTGTCTTAAATACCGAGCTAGTCCATTCCTTTGAAACCGAGGACGGCTCAAGTCTCTCTTCCTCCAAGCTCTCTCCGCGGGATTGCGTGATCGTGTAGCTGTCTGGCAGAAGCTGGTTCCTCCCCTTCATCTTCGCCGAGACTGTTGGTGACTGAGAGATATTGCTTCGCGTGGCCATCTAGAAGAACGAGTTTAACGGCCTGCCAACATGGGTTCCCAACCATCAAAGACCGCCGCCGTCGACCCTTCGAGCGAGAAAGAACTCCTTGAGCGCCTTCGCCGATTCCAGGTCACCGAGAACGAGTTCGCCAACGTAGCAAACGCAGGCGGCGATGAGAAGAACGCCATTCAGCTTCTCCGCGAGCCTGAGGGTCTGCCCGTACACTTGACGCAATCATGGCAATCCCGCTTCCTCTCAGACCCCAAGAACAAGTGAGTCTTCTCTCTTGAGTCTCATACAAAAGGCTTTCAACTCACAAAGAGCTCCCCAGACTCGCCCTCACAGCGCTCAGCACCGCCGATCCGCGAACGGTCCTGACCTCCACCTCGACCAAGCTCTCGGATCCGCAAATCTTCAACGTCAAGATCCCCTTCGAGGGCGGCCCCATCACAAACCAGCGCTCCTCCGGCCGCTGCTGGCTCTTCGCCTCCACCAACACCTTCCGCGTGGCCCTCATGAAGCGCTACAACCTCGAGGCCTTCGAGCTCTCCCAGTCATACCTTTTCTTCTGGGACAAGCTCGAGAAGTCAAACTACTTCCTCGAGCAGATCATCGACACCGCGGCCGAGGACCTCGACGGCAGGCTCGTCCAGGCCCTGCTCGGCGACATTGTCAGCGACGGCGGGCAGTGGGACATGGTCTACAACCTGGTGCAGAAGTACGGCCTCGTCCCGCAGGCGCTGTACCCGGACAGCTGGAACGCCATGAACTCGGGCGTCCTCAACTCCATCGTCAAGACGAAGCTGCGCGAGTACGCCCTCATCCTGCGCAAGGAGATCCGCTCCGGTTCGGCCACGGTGCAGACGCTCTCCTCCACCAAGGAGAAGATGGTCCGTGAGATCCTGAGCATCCTCACCCTCACCCTCGGCCCGCCGCCAAACCCGCGCGAGGAGTTCGCCTGGACCTACCTCGACAAGAACGGCAAGGCGCACGAGCTCACAACGACGCCCGCGGCCTTCGCCAAGGACATATACTCCTCCGACTTCCGCATCACCTCCGCCGTCATCGAGGGCATGGTCTCCCTCGTCCACGACCCGCGCCACGAGCCCCTGACGCTCATGACCGTCGACCGGCTCGGCAATATCGTCGGCGGCCGCGGTGTGACCTACGTCAACGTCGACATGGCGACGCTCAAGTCCGCGTGCGTCTCCATGCTCAAGGCGGGCCTGCCCGTCTTCTTCGGCTCCGACGTGGGCAAGTTCAGTAACTCCGCGTCCGGCATCATGGACCTCGACCTCATCGACTACGAGCTCGGCTTCGGCGTGTCTACCCTGGGCATGGACAAGGCGAGCAGGCTGAGGACGGGCGAGAGCGCCATGACGCACGCCATGGTGCTCACGGCGGTGCACCTCGACGCCGAGGGCAAGAGCGTGCGGTGGAGGGTACAGAACAGCTGGGGCGAGAGCGCGGGCGACAAGGGCTGGTTTGTCATGAGCGATGCGTGGATGGATGAGTTTGTCTACCAGGCCGTCATCGACCCGCGGTTCCTGAGCAAGGAGGTCAAGGGGGTTATTGGTACGGAGCCGATTGTGCTGCCGCTGTGGGACCCGATGGGCAGTTTGGCATAGATGTCTCGCGCGATTGATGGGTTCGGGAGTCGGTGGACGCGTCTTTTCTTGTTGGTCACGAATATTGATGAATGGGATGGGTAGGCAAGCAGCGATTTAATTTACTCCATGTTCAGCTTACATTTGGGCCCCCCTCTCCACCACTCAATATACGGCTGGTCGTTCTTCTCTCCTCCGCCTTCGGGTTCCCGCGAAGCCATGGTCGTCTAGCCAAGTCCAGACCGGTGTAAGGCCAAAGATTCTTCGAGTGGGCTGCGCCAAAACTTGACGGCAATCCAAATAGACCCGCGTCATCTCCGGTCATGGAGCTCCGCGATATCCTTGTCAGCATTGTCACCAGGGCCCGAAGCAGATACGTCCCGGCCGCCGACAACGAACCCCGGGGTTGTCCGCTCACCGAACCTTTCCTGAGAACCCTCCACCTCGCAGATGAAGGTTTTGCTGTCCCGGCAAGGGACCACACACTCTCTGACATGGTGGGCTCGGCCCGCGAAAGTTCTTCCAAGGACGGAAGGTTTGTTTTGCCTTTTGTGGATGGGATATCCGCTTGTCGACCGGGATGGAGTCGCTGGCCTCGAAGCGAAAAGTGAGGCTGCCCTCATTTGGCTCCCTGTACGCGTTTTGTTGAGCTCGATCAATTTGTATCAGTCATTGCTCCCGGAAACTCTGAGTCTATGACTCAGCCTTGACTCGACAGAAATAGTTGCGTTCTTCCGATAACCTCATGAGACAAAATTACATCAAGATTAGAGACGGGACAGGTTCGTGAGGGCTTATTGCCGTTTGATCTCGAACGGCCCATAAACTAAAGTCGATGTAGCACGTGGAAGTGCGGACACAGTCCAAGCAGTCGCTAACGCTCCAAGCCGCTCGGTCTAGCAACGACTTAACGGTGCGTTAGGCCATAGGCTGAACGAATCCTAGGCTGCTTCTCCAAAGCGCCAGCGCGATGCGAGCTACACCTTTGATAGCAAAAGTGAGGTGCGAGCTGACGGACGTCCATGGGGTCTGTCGCCAAGGATCTCGCACAGTCGTTCGCCTGTACGTACGTCTTCGAGGTCAAGGTCGGTGGCCTCAGTTCAGATGGCGTTGCGGCGGATTCTTGGCGCTACATCGATCCACGTGGGAAACAGCCCATCTCTGGCATCAGAGGCTCTGCTAGTCCAAGCTCAATCTTCGGGCTTATTCACTCCATCCTTCGACTGCGAGACAGCATCATCTCGTATCAAGATCACGCACGTATCGCTCAAAGGCCCGCTTCAAAGACGGATCTGGATGAAACGTCAGTAGATCGAGATGCGAAAATTGAAAATTCAAAGTTTTCACCCCGTCAAAGGATAGGCAATGATCGGAGCAGATCACTTGAGATACAATGCGGTACATGGCGGAAAGCCTACGAGCTGCTGAGCCTAACAAACTGGGCGAGAATCCAAAGCCGTTGCTTGGTGGCTTGGAGTTGACCGAAGCCGGGGATCCCCGTCTTGGGCTCTGCCGGGAGCGGGCTTTGTTGGCGGGTCTCCGGGACCGTTCAAGCCCAACCGTCAACGGTGTCGTAAAGGGGACGCCACAGACTACATGGGTCCCAACCCTCCTCGAAGCGGCAAAGCTTGAAGAGTGGAAGTGAAAATCTTCAAATGTGTCGCCTATTGGCTCATCAAAGCGCAAAACATAGGGATCTCGAATGCTGGCATCGCCAAGGCAGTGTTTTTTTGGGCAGGGCTGTCTGGCGAATTGAAACAGATGGGATGCTCCTTGTCGGCTAGAGGGAATGACGGGGCATGACACGAGTGCGCCTTTCTCCATTAAGCGCCCTTGCGTCGATAGCAAGACAGCCATCCCATGCTCTCATAGCATCTCGCCTTGCACAGTTGAGGAGGCAGTTGAGAGACGTTACACTTGTTGCCTTCGTCTGTGGTTGCGAAGGAAGGCAATGAGGGAAATACAGCAAAGTATCAGGCAACAGCTGCGTGTGGCTGAATCGTAGCGGTGAGCGAGCATGCGACTGACGGGCTCGAGATCGACCCCAGTGTCCCCACGCGGCAGTTGCGGTTTGGCTCTGGCCGGGTATCGATCGAAAGGTTTCGGAGCCAGTGCTTCGCGGCAGGCGGGAAGACGCAAGTCATTGCTTGTTTGGTCGTGTGTTTGCGGCGTGGCGTAGCCGGGACGCAGATAATATGGAGAGTCGTCTTGCAGAACGGCAAGATGCTGCAGATGCGATTGAGTAGCAGTCACGCAGTGCAGTGTGCTATGTAGGCACGTAGGT